ATAGGAAGTAAATACTAGGGAGATATGATTTACCTTGATTGTAGGACAGATTTGTAGGAATTTGATTAGTCTTCTTTCCTAATATATTCTTTCCTAACATAGAATTTGTAACTTGTATATTTACATACGAGATTGATGAATAATACAACAAATTCTTCTTCTTCCTCTGTTTACTCTTATTTTACAAAAATTAAATTGCAACAGACTTATCTCCCTGCCTAGTAGCAATCACCTGATTTCTCAATTGGTAGGTTCTAGCAACATTCTCACTCAGTGGATAAGTTTCTGCTACTCCATCCCAAATCTCCTTAGTTGTGTTAGCCCATAGAAAGTTCTTATAAGGGGTAACATGAAATTACGTAGCCAAGTCATCACCATGTAGTTCTCCTGTACCCACCGGGAGTAGTTAGTGACAGGTTTATTCTCTTCACTGGTGACAGACCATAATTTTCCATGAGCTCCAATGGCCATTTTTGCAAATTGTGACTATTCTAAGTAGTTTCTACCATCCAACTTGACTGTAGTGATGGTCCCTGCCCTGAAGGGGTCACTAGCACCCCTCCACCTATTCCCACTTCACCTGTAGATTTATATTCAACTCCACAACCCTCCATAGCTCCTAGAATAGATTAGGAAATCAATTGGAAATGAAAAGAAAAAAAAAAAAAAAATTATCCCCTTTGGAAACCTCAAACACCATCCTAGTACCCTAGAAGCCCCTCCCACCAAGTTTCCCTTCTTCGTGAGAGCAAGTATAAGGAAGAGGAGAGGCTGCCGTTCCCTCCAAAGACCTCCAAAAAGCTTGGGACTTGAACCACCCTATTCAAAAAACACCAAGAAACCGAAAAAAACCGGTGCACCACTTCCTGGGTCAAAAATGAAGAATCCTACTGCAACCAACATTCTTCCCCTTCCTCCAATTCTTCCTGATTTTGGTGATAAACCCTAGACATGCTACAAGGGATTGTAGATCCACCAAAAAATCCAAAAAACTGGGCACTCTTTAAGTCCTTGATCAGTAACTCATCATGCATTTGGTTGATCTTGGGCTGCATGATGGAACAGCTCAAAAATCCCTAAGGTTGCTCTGATACCAAGTTGAAAGTGAAATAAATCTGATCTGATTTGAAATCCGTGAGAAAAAGAAGCCAAAAAAGTTATCTGGCTGCCCCTTTCACTATCTTTTGTACTCATAATTAAAAAAGAATACAATGACAAGTATACCCTTAGTAAGTCGGCTATTGCTAAAAACACAAGTAAACACTCTTAACTATACATAAACTAATGGGCCTCTTAGGCCCAATAATTCTAGCTAAACTTTAAAAATAAAAAACAAATATTATCAGCCCAATCTCAACACAGACTTGATCCAAACTCACCAAATGATAATTGGACAAGTCCTTCCAATTGCTCCACAGAAAGTCTCTCATCCTCCTTTCTATCTGATCAGCCACTTCAAATGGGATTGGGAGAATAGACATATAATAAGCTGGGAGATTTGCGAGCACACTTTTGATTAGAGTTACCTTCCCACCCTTAGATAGATACCTGGCCTTCCAGGAAGCTAACTTTGAGTCAACCTTCTCTACAACTGGGGTCCACAGGGCTTTGGAAGTGCACTTGGCCCCAAGGGAAGACCCAAGTACATAGAAGGGAGGTTCCCTACTTTACAGCCCAGTAGCCCCGCCAACTCAGCCACATTCTCAACTTCTCCAAATGCCAATAACTCACTCTTGGCCAAATTCACTTTTAATCCAGACACCACCTCAAACCAATACAGCAAGAATTTTAAATTAGTTTACCTGAACTGATGAGGCCTCGCAGAAAAATAGTGCCGTCTGCAAACTAGTTAAGAGGAATTTGTGTTCCATTACTTCTGACTTTGAAGCCTTCCACACACCTTGTTTCAGCAGCCCGAACTTGACCTGCTTAAACCTTCCATTACAACAAGAAAGAGCAGTGGAGACAGTGGATCACCTTGCCGTAATCCTCTGGGGCTCTTGAAGTTCCCATGAGCAGCACCATTAATTAGGACAGAGAACCTTGGAGTGGTCACACAAACCTTCATCCAGTTTCTCCACTTGATTTTAAAATGCATTCTAGCCATCATATAGTCCAGAAATGCCCAATTGGCATGGTCGTAGGCCTTTCCAAGTCAATTTTGCATACAAAACCTTTCCTATTGCTTCTCCTTAGATCAATTAGCTCATAATTAACATCCCATCCTAAATGTGTTTGTTATGCACAAAAGCCCCCTGATAAGAGGATATGAGGGAATCCATGACAAACCTCAACCATGAACCCAGAATTTTAGCTAGGATCTTGTTCACACTTCCAATTAAGCTAATCGGCCGGAAGTCCTTCATTTCCACAACTCCACTCTTCTTGGGGATTAAGGAAACAAAGGAAGCATTCAAGCTTCTCTCAAGGGCTGCAGAATGATTAAACTCCTCCAAAACTTGCATTAGATCATGCTTTATGACATCCCAGAACTTCTTATAGAAGAGAATTGTAAAGCCGTCAGGACCTGGAGCTTTGCCTCCCTCCACATCTAATGCTCTCTTCACCTCCTCCTCTGAAAGGGTTTTTCCAAATCAGCAGTTTGTTGTTCAGACAGAGTCTCAAAGTGGAGATCATCCAAAGTTTGTCTCACCTTACATGGTTCATTATGGCTTCCTCAATCTCCTTCTCCTAAAATTTAACAATGGCTTCCTCGATCTCCTTCCCCTAATCCACTATGGATTCTCCTACTTGCAGCCTCTTGATATAATTCTTCCTTCTCACATTTTGATCTCTGCCTCCATTTCACCTCTTCCTGATAAGTTAGAGAATCATAGTCTTTCTTAGCCTTAAGTCTTTCTACTCTCGTTGTCTCCTCTAAAGCTCCCCCTTCCTCCTCTGAATTGATCTCAGTTATAATTTTCAAGCACTCAGCCCTCCTTTTTTGATCTTTTGACACCCTCTCCCGCTGCTATTTCTTGATATTTCCTTTCAGCCATTGTAATATCTTGCTCATGATATGACTAGCTGACCCCTCAAAAGAAGCCTTCACCCACCAAGATTTTATAGCTGTTTCAAGCTCCACCAATACCAGCCAACAATGTTCCAGCCGGAAGGGGTGAGCCTTCTTCCTTGGAACACCAGTCGTTAACTGCAATGGAATGTAGACAAAGATGTGGTCTTAGAGTCATCAACTGCACCGGTCATCAAAACTTTGGGTTTGTGAGGATATTTTTGACAAGTATGTGGTCTTAGAGTTAGAAAGAATTAATGCTAATACCAAGGACTCAAAGGTTTCTGAAATTTTCCCTAATGCAGTTAGAAGGCTCAGAAGTCAGAAAAGTACACTATTTCACTTATGAAAAGTTTTTGCCAGATTGAAAGGGGAATTATTTGGGGTTGGACCCAGTAAGAGGGTAAAGAAGACAGAGAGTTATTAAAAGAGGCAAAGCGGCTCTTGTTGCAGCCACTGAAGATGGTGAACAACCGGGCAATTGGTTGGGCAATACTTTGAAGGGTTTTGTGCTTGCTGGGTGTAGGTATGTTGTCATTGGACAGAGGATTGATTCTTGAGGGTCTGTCAGTTAGGCTTTACTTTCAGGTCCATTAGGGGGCTAAAATTCAATTTCTTTGTATTTTTGGGTTATAAGCTTCTCTTCAGGTTTGGGTTATTTGTCCTCTATTTTGGCTTTGGGGAGATAATATTGGAAGGTTAAAAAGGGGAGGGCAGTCTTTTAGAGCTGTTTTTACAGTTATCTTTTGTTGGTGACTACCTATCACCTCTTTTGTAATATTCTCTTTCTTATCTTAATGGATTTTCTTTTTATTTATTACCAAAAAAATGCTGAATTATTTTGCAAAGAATATCCATAAATTTGCGATGCAGACTCTATATATAACCTGGATAGGCTGTACTGTATTCACTATTCACTACTTTGATAGATGCTAGGTATTAAGGGATTTATTTTATTTTATGAAAAATTTGATACTTGCATATTTCTTATTTATGGTAGACTGGTTTGATTTGTCTTAAACTGTTTTTCTCATATGACATTAATTTTGTTACCTTCTATTGCTTTTTAAGTTCGTTATCATCTTGATGAGGATCCAAAGACTTTGAAGGTTTTCCCAATACCACTTCATGATTCAAAGGGGTCCACCTTGCACTATGATCGTATGAGTATCTCACCTGATGGAAAGATACTAGCAGCCACCCATGGTTCTACAGTGCAGTGGCTATGTGCTGAAACAGGAAAAGTCCTGGATACAGCTGATAGTGCACATGATGGTATGATCATCCAGCTTATTTGTAACTTGCACATCTTTTCTAGTTACAAAATAATGCATTCTCAATTCTGTAGCACAAACAGATGCATTCTTAATTCTGTCTTGATGTTTCTCCCAAAATCTGATACTAGCCATGGGATTTAACATCACTTAATGCTTCTAGTCTTGCATTTACATTTCTTGTCTCTTCTAACAAATATCACCTACAATCAACATATGGAATTGAGCCTTCTTGTATATGTATTGATTTTGGCTGAATTAGTTCTTTTTCTAAAACTATCTCTAGTTTGTCTTGCACTATGGTGTGTTCTTGGCTTGTCTGTAGAGAATCTTGGTTGGAGATCATTTGCACAACATAAATGTATATCAATTAGCTTTATATACATAGTATGATTGAACATGGTAGCCTACCTCTCTGAATCATCCAATTACTAGGCAATCAGATGGATGGAAAAAAGCCACAGTATAAAACTGTTTGATCTATCACTATATATGTATTATCCAATGTTTACAGCGACCCAGTAAAAGTTATTAATTGGATTGATAGGATTTCCTAGTTGATGCAATTTTTTGGGTCTGGTCATGATGTTTTGCGTGGGTTTCTACCTACATAGAATATTTCTTTGCCAGAAATCATTTTGCTAGACTATGTTTCTGTCATTTCAATAACACAATATTGTTGTCAAGTTAGTGCAAAGCATGTTGAACTATGAATTTTATCTTTGTTCTCTGGACCATTTTTTTAAACCTGATTCGGAGCTCACCAACCACCATCTCCCCTTATTTTCCTTTGAAGTTTGAGTTCTACTATATGGTCCTGTAAAATTTGTACCCAAGTACTGCATATTGCTACCTCACTCCTTGCTATACTCTCTTCACAAGTTCTGATTACTCCTATTAATTACAGGTGATATCACAGGTATCGCATGGGCACCAAAAAGCATTATAATGGGTATGTATCTTTTATTCCCTTTTAGAAACTACTAAAATCCTGGATTAGCTATAAATAATTCCTAATTGCAGATACCTTCTCCATACATCTTCCAGAGAAAATCCATCAATACTGAATTCAAAAGTTTTATACCACATTAGATTTATTGTGAGTAACATCAAAGGTTTATTTGGTTGACCTATCATTGATCTATTTAGGTAGCTAATAGGATGAATTTCAGGTAGGTTTCAACTCAACGGTATCCTAGTGTTCTGCTCAAAATCAACTTTTTCCAGCTTATGACACTTGTCAAGTTGTCACCAAAGGGAATATCAGTATATCACCAATTGCGACAAGATGATGATATGATCTAATTAAGTCATATTCTTGGTGGATAGGAGAACTCTAAGATGGAATGCATTCGATAGTTGGTCCTAACCCATGGTTATGATGCATGGAATGCCATGCTGTTTGTGGAGCAGTCTTGTGGTGTTCCTTATTTAAACAAATGCTTGCAGCAACTGGATTTGAAAATGAAATTCTCATTTGAACTGGTTTCTCGTGGAAACAGAATGTTGTGGTCTGCAATAAAATGGGAAATGTATAGGCAAATTGTCAAGGAAATGGATAAATACCATGAGGAGAAAGTAAAATAAATTTCCTAGGTTACCTTATTCCAAATGAAATTGCCTTTTTTGATGCATCTCTTTACTGTGCTCACCCATTTTCCTTGGTAACTCACATTTCCTGTATAATGTAAAACTTTGGATGCATAGGTTTCCTTACCTTTCCCTTCCTTTCCCCACCTTTTCCTTCAAACCAAACATAGCCTTAGGGGCACTGTTTTTCATTACCATTTGGTGGATGATTTCCTGTTCTAATTTCCCTTATCTCGCAACTACAGCTTGGGCACATCTGATGCAAAGACTCCTGACTTAATTCTGGGATTTGCCTGAATTGACAATTATTTCTAGTTCAACTTTTCTCGTTTTGACAGTATATAAGTTAAGTGTAAAGTCTCTTCATTGGCAATTATTTCTATTTTGAGTGCATATTATTTTTCTACAGCGGGTACATCTTCAACAATTTTAGCAACAGCTGGTGCTGACAAGAAAGTGAAGCTTTGGGTGGCTCCACCCCTCCATCCATCCTAGGGAATGGAATCTCTAGATGCATTGCAATCAACGGAAAGAACAAGCGAATCTGGACATACATATACTTCATGAGATTGTGTCCTACCCTTGCCCAAGTGTCATTACACCCGTAAAGCAGAAGGATACGAGTAAATGTATTGACCTCGTTCGCACTTGGTCAAGTTTTTTTGAAAGATCTTGATGATTAGGCAACTTTGGTAAAAGTAACATCCAGATTCCAACAGTGGTCTCACATCAATTGATGAACTTGAGTTTTTTTTTTTTTATGTGATAAAAATGAACAAGATTACATAATAGTGTCGTATTACTCGTCGACTCTGTATGTCCTCGTGCTTTGCTAATTAATTGATACTCATTTTTGTTTTAGTGCCGAGTCAGTCAGTTGCCTCAGAATAGACAAAACTGAGGTGATTGGATTCTTTTCGGTAGTTGGTAGCATGGAAGTACTATACAGGCCGTGTATGATGTATCGACTAAAAGCTTCCAATTTTATGGTGTTAACTTTTGAATTAGGACTTCATTTTTCTCTTTTTTGTTGTTGTTGGAAAATTGGGGAATTCACATCTGCGCCCACAGAATGCACCCTAAAAACGCTCCACATGTACATCTTAGCATGCATTGAGAACCTCTCCGGTACTTGTCATTGGGAACGTGCTGTGGGACGTTTTTGGGGCGCATTCTGTAGTGGTAGATTTGAACTCAAATTTTGAGACTACAATCAGTTGACTCAGAATAGACAAAACTGTGGTGGTTGGATACTTGGATTTCTTTTGATAGCGGGTAGAAAATTAATATAGCGAAGTGTTGGCCTAGGTTTAGCTCTTTCCGACCCATTACTTTGAATTATACTGAGTCAGTGAGTTGACCCGAAAATTTCCCATTATTCAATGTTTCTGCTGCTGCTACTTTGTTTTCTCTGTATATTATAGTGCTCGTGTCTCTGCCCCGATGGTTATGCCATTGGCATTAAACATATTTACATTGGAATAGAGGGGACATTCTTTAGCACTGTGAGTTCTCTCATCTTTCATGCGAGGTTCAGATATATTTCTGCAATACTATTATAGTCAATATCTCATAAATTTCATGAATCATAGAGTCCACTAAGTAAGAATAACAGATCTTTTCTAAATATTTTGCAAGTTAAAAATCAATTATAGGTTGAGTCTGCTCCTATTCGAGGTGCGTTCTGGAACTCTCGATGTATGCGCTGTATTGTCTAATTGGATTTAAAGAACAAGTGAAAAAACATTTGATCTGCCTGTATTGATCATACGTATCGTTCCGGGATCTCATTGATACGCCTTTATAGTGGGTGTATCAGGGGTCTGACCGGTTCAGGGTGTGGAGGTATAAACCGGCTCCCCTGAACCAGTTGCGAAAAAATTTAAAAAAAAAATGTCAAAAGCTGTATCGATTCACTCAATACACCCATACCGGCATATCAAGCATATCGATATTTTGAACCTTGTCCTCTAGGAATGTCAATGCCTTGGATGGGTTAAGTGGTAAACTGATTCTATTTCGTTGGTTTTGGTCAGTTCTTAAGCCGGTTTGTGGTTTGGTTCTTATTGAGGCTTACCTGCACCAAGAGCTACTCATTAATATCAGATTGACAAATACAAATATAGCCTTCACTAAGAATAGCGATATTTCATCGGACAGGGGGTGGTTGGGTTTGATATTCCTTGTTTCAACTGGGTTTGGGTTTGGACCGTGGGCTTCGAATTGATCGGTTTATATCTGAAATAGACGTCTGAGGTAAAAATACAGGCAGGTGGCATATGGCAGTCTTTACTAGTGATGTGAACCAAGGTTCAAAGTATCGTTACGTATAGGCCGAGGGCCGGTACGTATCGTTCTAGGACCCTTCCGATACAGCCCTACAGTTGGTGTATTGGAGGTCTAACCGGTTCAGGGGATGGAGGGGTCCTAGACCAGTTCCTCTGAACCAGTTTTGAAAAAATAAATAAAATAAAGTAAAAAAACAAGTATCGAAACGCCCAATACGCCCCTACTGGCATATCAGGCGTATCGATATATTAAACCTTGATGTGAACCAGTGATACAGTGAAACATTATAATTGACATTATCACATTGTTAAAGGTTTTTAACATGACAGTCTTTAGCATGATTTGATGATATTAATATTTAATCAAACACAAATATTCATTTATGCAGGACTCAAATATATTTTAATGGTTTATGTGAAGTGTGAGCTATGTGAAATGTTAAAAATAGTAGAAAAAATAAATTTACATGTTAATAAACTAATATAAATCCCATTACTTCTTTGAAATGCAAATTTTAGTTGCCAATTGAAAATATTTCTTTTATAAATTTTTGTAAGCAAAATATTTATAAATAAGTTGCAAATTTAAATTTCTTGTTGGTGTAAGAACACCTTTTATCTTTTAAAAAAAGCACGCCTTTTATATGGGTGACAAGGTTCAAATCTTCACAATTGCACGTTCATGAGGGGTAATTTGGCTCTCCGGTAACATTAAATCATGTGATACTTCCGAGCCGTTGCATAATACCTTGACGCCATGTAGGCAATGATATGCCTTTGCCAAGTTGGTTGAGTTTACCTCAGAATCACCTCAGACATGCCTCGGATGCACATTGAGAGAGTGCCCGGTACCAACTTGGCTAGGGCTGATCCGTATGCACCTCAGTAGGAGCAAACAGATGGTTTTTTCAGGATCGGGCCAGGGACCTCAGCATGAGGGGCAACCTCCTGCTAAGGTCTCACCGACCTAATTGAGGTCCAAGTGGTGACTTGCTTGACGTGGCGACTGGCCTCTGCTATGTGCGACTTATCGTCTCCAAGTCCTCTAGGATCACGTCGCTTGACTAATGGAGCTAGTTCCCACACCACCCGCTTTGGAGATAATTGGATAAGCTTTGTCGCTTTATGTAGAAATCACCTCCAAGCATGGCAGGATGATAAGCCATGTCCTCTCAGAGATCTCAGACACATTACATAAGGCTCACGACTACCAGCGTCTATTTAAAGGCAGCCCTTCAACCAGAGAAGGTATGCACAAGTTTTCTCTCAGATTCTCTAGTACTCTTGCTTTCTAGCATTTTCAAACTCTTTACTGACTTAAGCATTGGAGTGTCCACCTCGAGTAAAGCACCCCAGGTACTCTGATTGTTTTGTTGCAGCTCAACCAGCCGACCTTGTTAACCCACCATACAATTTGTCTTCCAGCAAGGAGCTACCAGATTGCACACCATTAATTGGCATCGTCTATGGGATCTGCTACAAAAAGCTAAGTTCTCACAAACTTTCTGCTAAGCATGCAATGGCCTTAACTAGAAACAACAACAACAATAACAATGCTGACAACGTCCAGATTGATGACACTTCAACCGAGGGCAGAACCAACCCGTCCAGAATACATCAACTCAGAATGTCCAGATCGGGCAGATTTCAGTCCCCCTAACACAACCAAGCATCCCAATGTTGCCGGGGCTGAGTCTCCCTACACTGCCAACATCGATCGTGCCTCCCTTGTAGGTTGAAAAATCCGTGATTCCCATTGGGGTTGATGGCCAGCAGCTTCAAGAGCTGGTGCAATACATCTACAGCATCGACTTTCGAATGTAGAGTTGGGAGGCTGTCTCACTATGATGGCTTGGATGCAACTGAACTTCATGCCCGACCTGCAAATGCCGCAAGTGCCTTAACAATACATTGCCTGTCAGGTCCCCACGCCAACAGTAGTCCTGAACTAGCAACATAACGACCAATATCAAAATCAGAATCAGGTGCAAAAACCCCTCCATCAGCAAAACGTCCCTCTCACCAACAACACACAAGCACTTGGTACTGCCGACTTGGAGAGGACTCAACATATGTGACTAGTTGGGCTACCTCCTCGGTCAAGCCCGCAAACATTGGCTCCACTATGGGGTCTTGAATAAGATGCCAAAGACGTACCCAACATGGCCCTAGTAAAAGTCATTTCGCACCAAAGGATGAAGAAGCCCAAAAGAAAGAGGAAGAAGTCAGTTCGAATAGCATGTCGTTCACCCCGCATGTCTTTTGCACTTCCCCATTGTCGACCAAGATCCATGCAACCCTTGGCCCAAGGACTTCAAGGCCCTAACCTCAAGTTGTACAAAGGCACCAGTGACCCGGTGGATCACGTAGAGAGTTTTCAAGCCCTGATGTAGCTATACGAGGCCTCAAATGCAAGCCTGTGCATGGCCTTCCCAACCACTTCCCGAAGCATAGTTCGGATGTGGTATTCTGGGATGGCCGCAAGCTCAATCTAAACCTGGAGGCAGTTTGCGGATTTATTCACGACCAACTTCGCTACCAGCAAGCGCTGCCCCAAATCCACTACCAGTTTAATGAACGTGGTCAAGCATCACGACGAATCATTAAGATACTATGCCAAGCGATTCAACCTAGAGAGGCTACAAGTTCCAAATCTTGACCTAGCTGTCCAACTCACTACTACAATCAATGGTGTTCGACACCTTGACCTGTGCTGGGAAAGTTTATCAAGGTATAAGAGATGCTCGGTTCCAAGAATGAGTTGGGTGGGAAGAGGAGGTCGGAAGATGATCAGTGTGGCAGCAACAATGACAAAAAAAGAAGTACATCGATCAAGTGAAGTAGGTCTCCCCACCGCAAGACCAGATCCTCCCCCTAGAGGAAATAAGTCATCTAAGCCGACACTCTCGGATTCCCCTCATAAAGACTAAGAACTACACACTGCTTAATGCTAGGAGAGGAGAGATCCTAATGGAGATTAAGCTAGCCGAGTATATGAAGTGGCTAGCTCCGTTGAAAGAAAATCCCCCCAACCAAAACCAAGACAAGTTCTACCACTTTCATAGAGAAAGGGGCACGACACAAAGAACTGTCGGAACGTAAAGAATGAGATCGAGGAACTAATTAGGAGGGGATACCTCAAGAAGTTCATTAAGAGAGACAACCGCCCTGCCAATCAACCGAGGAGAGAACAGTCCCACAAGACAACAACAAAATGACCCACCATGAGTTTCTGGTGGTAGCTACAGTGTCGCCCTACACTACAATATTAGTGTGAACGTCGGAAAAAATCCCCCGACTGTTCACTTCATGGCTGAATATATGCAATCACCACCCATTAGAAATCAATAATGGGGAGTGATGGGTCTCCCAGATCTAAATTTTACAAATCATTTAGAGCAAATAGTGACTCCTTACCAATCAGCCAGGACAAGGCCAATCTGGGTGAGTTGAGAGAGGGAAGGGGTTAGGGACAATAATGGGGAGTGATGGGTCTCCCAGATCTAAATTTTACAAATCATTTAGAGCAAATAGTGACTCCATACCAATCAGCCAGGACAAGGCCGATTTGGGTGAGTTGAGAGAGGGAAGGGGTTAGGTACCCCTCTCACTGGTCAGTGTGAACGCCAAATCCCTCTTCATTTTGGATTCAAATCAGAAAGCCTAAATCTTCTAACCATTCAAAAGGAGCAGAATGCCCCTTCCTTCATTTCCGA